CAGAAGCGCTGCCTGTAACCGCTGCAAACATTCACCCGCTGATCACCTGCATATGTTTTGGACATGTCCACAGCTGGCAACTTTCTGGTCAGGTGTATTTGATACATTTAATAAAGTTCTCAACACTAATATAGACCCTGATCCCTTCTTAGCCCTCTTTGGAGTATCCCTTAGACCTGATCTGACAGCCCGAGATTGTAAGGTTGTTGCTTTCGCTACAATCTTGGCCAGACGAGCTATCCTTCTTATGTGGAAGCATACCTCGCCCCCGACACATAACAGGTGGATACAGGACATTTTTTACTGTATCTGACTTGAAAAGTTAATATGCTCACTCTCTTGTTCACTCAAATCCTTTTATAAGACTTGGGATCCCTTTTTGGACTATATTAAAGGACTACCTTGTGCACCTGTAACTGGCAACATGTAATGTTTGTCATCGGTTAGAAGGGATTTTTTTAATATATTGGTGAATTATATCTATTTTATTTCATTTGTTACTGTTTAATTATTTAATTTACTGTGTTTCTGTCTGAGTTAATATGAATGGGGGGATTGTGGAAGGGATTAATAATGGACAATATCCTACTGTTCACTTTGTTATCATTATTTCAATCTGTATTGTCACACAAAATACCAATAAAAAGATTTGAAGTAAAAGCTGTGGGTGCCTTGAGACTTTTGATGGAAATAACATCAACTCGCTCCAACCGGATTGTCTTATAAGGCAAGTCGAGTTTGAATAAATTATCCAAAGCGAGTCGGAAGAGCGTCAAATGGGGCGTGGCTGCATAAATTATTCGAATGCCTCTTGCTCTCCGCCAATAGCGCGCCGAGCAGCGCTGGCGTGAAATAAATTATGCAAATAGCACAGGCTGCAGATATTCACCAGCGCAGAGATGAGCTGACCTTGGAGTTTCTTTGTGCTGCGGCACTGGATGTACGGTCTCCTGATAAAGCGAGGTTTTCTGCTGGGAGTCACGCACAGTGTTCCTGCAAACGCACACAAAGGATGTAAAGCTCCAGAGGCTGTAGGAAGGACACGCGTTCGCTTCCCTGCGCGATTTCTTATGGACGCAATAGCATGAATTCTCCATGCTATTCCGTGGCGATGGATCTTGGTGTTTGTCAGCTTAGAAATTTCTCCATATCTTTCCTCTCGTCGTTGTTGGGGACTGAGACTTCGTCCGTCAAGCTCGACAATAGGTAAAATATCAGACTTGTGTTCGTAATAAACCGTCAACAAGCTAAAGCTCATATGAGAGCCTGCGTTCTGTGCAAAATAACTGTTACAAGCGTTGAACGCGAAAATTGGCGACGCGGTGCTGTTTTGGAGAATTTGGGTCATTTAATATCATAACTGGACGTTTTTAACTCTGGTTTGTGGTAAAAAGCCTAAGCTGTAAGCAGCTTGCCTGCTCTTTCAGTTCATTCAAAGATGATGCTGAAGGTAGCTTTGAATGTATAAAACGTACCTTTCTGAATAAAGAGACGCGGAGTTTGATGTGTTCTAGAGATTTCCATAGAAAATGCATAGTAATGTGGACTATTACACAATGATTTTCGATATTTCATGTGTTTGTGACGATATTTTGTTGACGTTGCCATGGTTTCTTGTGTGTTGCTGGTGTATTTAAGCAGCGAAGTAACGATTCTCTCTCTCCCCCCCACAGCTCATCGGGTGCCAGTGTTGTGGCCATAGACAACAAAATTGAACAAGCGATGGTAAGTCCTCCTGCCTTTCCCATCATAAACATTGCATATCCGAACAGATATTTAGTTTACATGCCGTAAGCAGGCTTTCGAGTTGCATCAGTGTCGCTGGAATGAATTATGTAACGTTAATCATTATCAAATGATTGTTGCTCTGTCATTGTGACAGCGTCGATGTTTTGCCGCTTTCATTGTTCATTCGCGCTAGTCCGAGTTTAGTTGAAAGTAAAAAGCTAATAAGAAAACGAGCGAAGCGTTTGGTGTTTGTTTGCCGACTTGCCTGGGGTTTTGCCTGCGTACTCACGCGATCTGTGCGCCTTGTTACTGTTGCTAGGCAAACCCCAAAGCTTTTACACATAGTTAAAAATATCTCGGCTTCTGATTGGCCTGACGCGCTGTGGGACGGCCATTTTGTTGGTTTGTTGGGAGGGAGGGAGGGATTGTGGGCAGCGAGTAGGAGGATGCAGGTTAGAGCCTTTCAAGGCTTTACTTCAAATGGTGAACGCAGCATCTCACAGTAGATTGGTGTTTTTGCACAATATGTGACTCTGGAGCACAAAACCAGTCATAAGTAGCACAGGTATATTTGTAGCAATAGCGGAAAATACATAGTATGGGTCCAAATTGTCAATTGTTCTTTTATGCCAAATAACAAAAGGATATTAAGTAAAGATCATGTTCCATGAAGATATTCTGTAAATTTCCTACCGTAAATATATTAAAATATATCATTACTTTGATTAGTAATATGCATTGCTAAGAACTTCCTTTGGACAACATTAAAGGCGATTTTCTCAATATTTAGATTTTTTGCACCCTCGCATGCCAGATTTTCAAATAGTTGTATCTCAGCCAAATAGTGTCCTATCCTAACAAAACCATACATCAATGGAAAGCTTGTTTATTCAGCTTTCAGATGATGTATAA